TGTTGGAGCAAACCAGAGACATGAAGTCTGAGCTTGCAGCCCCAGCATGGTGAAGGTAGCCTTGAGTGATGCCAATCCAATGCAGTGCCCAACAGATGTCGTGAGGGTTGTCACAAGACACCAACAATGGCCTTGGACACCTCTTCTCTGAGGACCATCAAGGGAGGAGGAAAGGACAGGCCAGGGTGAGGGTGCTTTGTGCAGGCTGCTCCAGGAGAGCTGCTGCAAGGGCGATAAGCAGGTCTGCACTGAACATGGCAAATACAGATCCATGCTGGCCCCAGGAGCAGCCAGGCCTGGGCGAGTATGAACTACATCTGCACATGCTGCACCTTTCTGACCTTCTGCTTCTCTCTTCCAGGCGTACAGCTTTGCCATGGGGAGTTGGCCAAAGAACGGGCTCTTAGACATGAACAAAGGACTGAACCTACAGCACATAGGGAGGCCTCACAGCGGAATAGGTGAGTGATGCCGCCCCACGCCCTTCCCATCCCCACAGCAGCTGCTCCGGGTGCATGGGACACGCCTCAGCTCTGGGAGCTGGCCCACACTGGTGTGCTGAGCTAGCCAAGGGGCTGCAAGGTTTTCAGCTGGTGGAAGGGACAGAGATTTGTCAGGGCAGGATGGGCACATGGGGTGAATTCTTGGTCTCTGGCACATCCCAGTGTGCCAAACACACCTGCCTGTCCCTCTGGGAAAGGAGCTGCTCACCTCCTCAGCCACTGTGGCAGTGCTCAGGCTGGGGTGGATGTGGGCACCACTAGGGCTTGCTTGGTGCCTGGAGTGCAGGGAAGAGTTCCCCAGACTGGGAAGAATGCTCTCCCTGATGGGTCAGTCCTCCAACCACTTTGGATGCTGCTTCTGTCCTTGGAACAGAGGCTCTGCCAGGCAGTGCAGCCTGAGGAGCTGGCTAGAAACATGCTGCAGAGTGAGGATGTGTGGCCCCAGCTGGAGAACTGAACCCTCATCCCATTTTCTCACGTGTGATGAGTTTCATGGTAGTACAGCCTACTCCAAGATAACTGAAGCCACCATGAACAATGGCAGAACTCTGTGTTTACCCTGGCTCTCCTGCATCGGGGTTCAAAGTGATATGAGGAGGGAGACTTGGCCAGGGACACTAAGGCCATATATCTGCCTTATATGCTCTGGACACAGAGCTGGGGCAGCAGCAGGCTGTGTTATGGGCTAGAGTACAGATTGACTGGGCTGTAGACAAGGCGGTGACTCAGGGCTGCATCACTCTTGCCTGTCTTGCTCCTCTGCAAGGCACTGGATTACCTCTTAGAGACCAGTGGTCAGGTGTTCCCTCAGCCTCCCAGCCTTTCATCCAGGGTGACTTGTGAGCATTAAAGTTTGCAAGGAAGTAAGATTTACTTGGAAAAGTCACCTACTACCTGAGCCTTGAGGAGGCTCTTTAATATTGTTTCAAGACTCAAACCATTAAACTCTCCAATCAATCCAAGTTAAGGAGATGAATTATTTAAAGCTCACCAGCTTTTAATTAGCAAGCTCCTTTTGAACTATGGATCTGGTTGCATTATTGACAGAAGTAGCATTAAAATTTCCTTCCTTGCCTGGGAGCAGTCTTGCTTGCGTACCATGTTGAAAGGATCATGGGGAGGGAGCAGGGACTGCAGAGTTGCACGTGCATGTCCTGTTCTGGGAGCTTGGGCTTTTTATAGAGTCTCCTAGGGGATGCAGGGTTGGTTTGTGCCTTGTCTTTCCTCATTTTATTTATGGCAAGAACTCTCTGTTGCTGTCATCTCTTCCTCTGACAAAGCATCCCCAACTCTGGAGTATCATCTGTCTGCTAATGGTTTCTGCTTGTGTTTGTATCAGTGCTGTTGTCTTGCACAGGTGTCTCTGCCTGATGGAGTTCGAAGAGATGCTGTTCATGTCCCTCCCCACTCCAGTTCCTTAGGAAGGTTTTGCTTCTTCATTTCTGCCAAATTCCCTCTGTGGGGGAGCCAATCACAGCTCTCCCCAGTACAAGGTGGATTGCCTGAAGGGAGGCACTATGTCAAGGCCCAGCAGCCAAGCTCTCTTCTTGCATCACTCCATCCCAATCGCAAACCTGCTTTCTCACACTGTTTGGAAGGGGCTTTGGGTGCTGTGAAGGCTGCCAGGCCAGCAGTATGACAGTCTCCATCTCCCTGGCACTGCTAGTGGTATGTGCATGCCCCATGTGTTGCAGCTGCTTGCTGCTACATTTGGGCTGGATCCAGGGCAACTCTGCCCAGGCTGTCTGCAATTCTCTGCCTGCCTGCAGAGGTGGCAGCTGCTGACACCCCGTGCCTGGTGGCTCTACTGCAAGCTGAGCCCCTGGGAGTGAGCTGGAGGCACAGCTCATGGAATGGTTTCTCCTTCTGGCCAGTGTTGGAGCCACAGGCACAGCTGCTGCCTGCAGTGTCAGGGCTTTAGGGCTTGGTAACACAGCATCTCTCCTGGGAGAAGGGTCAAGGTGATGCGGGTGCCAGGACACATGCCTTGCCTGGCATTTTGTCATGGCACCTGTCTTCTGGCTACTTCATTTCCCAGCCTGCTGGCATTTCAGGTCCTAGTTGTGGATCAAATACTGGCTCTAGTTGACAGCTGAGAGGTCCCCAGGCCAAGGAATAAGGTGGAGCTTCTCACTGCAGAGGCAGGTTGGGCTTGCTTCCTTGTGTCTGGCTTTGCTGCCTTGTACTGGAGTAAGTGTCATTCCTGCCCAGCAAAGTCCTTCTGTATCAGTCACTGGGACTGGGCACAGCCATCCCAATTGCTGTTGGTCACCCTGTGACCTGAGCAGTCCTCACCACTCTTCTTCTTCATGCTCTCAATTGCTTTTGCTTCAGGGCCAGAAGCAGCAACCCCTTTCCCTGCCCAGGCCTGCCCTCATCTTCTCTCCCTGGCTGGAAGGAGCCTTGCTCCTGACACAGCCAAATACGTGACCCCTTCTCGAGAACTGATGCTGTAGAAGAGAATGGAGAACAGCAAAGGACACTGCCTGCCCTCCTTTCTGTGCCTGTGGTTAGGTGGGAGCTGTCAGTGGCTCTGGAGATGCTCCCATGTGGTCCAGAGTCTCCCTTCTTTTGTCATTGGTCCTGGAGTGCAGCAAGCTCAAGGGAAGTTTGGGTTCTGAGAGGGGTTTCTCTAGGGCTGCCCAAGGTGGGTATAGCCAGGTTCAGCATCTGATTTTCATGGCCCTCATGGGTCACTGATGTGCAGAAGTCTGCAAACCAAATTGGGCTAAGAAGGGAGCAGCAAGACAATGTATTTGCCAGCCACAGCAGTTTCACAAGTACCGTGTCACGGGGAGAGCCTCCACACAGGCCCTTTCCCAGCAGCATGGGGAGAGATCCAGGGCAGTGCAGGCAGTCCTATGAAGCCTCAGCCTGCTTATGCAGGGATGTGCAAAATGGATGCTTCCCTTGAAATCTGACAGAAAAATTGCAGTGGATGGGCCAGTTGTTTTTGCAAACAATTTGCAAAGAATTTTGCCGCCTCGCCTGATCGGTTGAGTGTTACTTTGTTTTCAAATCACTCTGATTTGTGATCACTCTGATCACTGGCTCAGCAGATGTCTGCTCCAAATCCCTGCACTTGGCATGATCTAAAACTGGTTCTGCTTTGTGCTTCATCTCCTCTCCTTCTTGCTCAAAATCTGGGAGTTCAAAGCACTCAACACCCTGCAGGGCCAAGGCCAGATTCTGGATAGGAACCTCATATTTAGCACCTGGTGTGTGTGGGCAGGGGGACTCATGATGGAGCATGGTGAAGTCTCAGACCACATACCCTGGGACATAGAGCTGGGCTTATGCAGCAGCAGGCTGCTGGACATGGTTTGCTTTTGTCTGGTTTCTACTCAGGAGCAAACAAGCTGCAGATCTTGTCAAGGAGTTAGTAAAGTGGTTTGTGTCACCAAATATAGCAAAGTGTATTTGTGTACAGTGCAAATGCAGTTGCCTTGGGGTTGGATTGGTGAGGTTCTGCTGCAGTTGTTTTTTTGGGAGAGAAAAGGTAAAGAAATGGAGAAATGTCGATACTTCAGCTTGTTGAGAATTGCTGGGCAGAATAAGGAGGTAGGAAAGTCCTGCTCCAGAGAGTGAGGGTGTGGAAAACCCTTCAGAGATGGGAAAGGAGCAAAAGAGGGGTGAAACTGGTTCTTTCATGCCATTTCTTGGGTTGGTAATGTGATTCTGAGGACCATTCTTCAGATTCCTTCTCTCCTCAAACATGGATTAAATGGGTGTCAGCTCTAACATAGGATCTTGGAGTGGGTCTTTTTTGTGTCTGGTGCTTTCTTGGCCCTGAGCAGATTGAAGTTGAGTCTTGCCAGGAGGTTACTCATCTTACAGATGTGTGCACATTGCAGTTCTTAAAATGTGTTTGTGGTGCTGCTTGCCAAAAACAAGCTGCACCTTGTACTGGGGGTCTTAACATTCTCATGCAAAGACCAGCATTCACAGGCTCCACACCATTGGAGCTGGGTTCTTGAGCTGGCGTCTCTCTGCTGAGTTTCAGAGACTGATATAAATCAGAAGGATTCAGATCCCAGGCTATAGTCGTGATTTAAATCAGCCAGCTGGTCACTTGGATGCAATAGTTGATTTTATTCTATTTTTTAATGTTTTTCTGTTTTTTACCTGCTTCCTTAAGAAAGGTGAAGTTTTACTGATCAGCATGTATCAAGCCAAGTGCAGCTCTCCTTACCACTGGCCTAAGATCAGGTTCTTTTATTCAGCAAATGCCCTGTATTTGCTACATTTAGTTGGATCGGTTTTGTGTAACATGCCTTTAGTTTTTAGTTTTTAGATATTTGTCACATTACAAAAATGGTGAATTACAAATTGTTGTAAAGGAGGTAGTGATTAAATTATTACTCATTATTTGAGTTGTGATGCTTTTGGATGAAAATTGGAATGCCATCTGATTACTGTCTGAGTTGTTTTTATTAGTAAAATCCTGTTTCCCTTTCATATGCTCGATACAGAAGGAAAACTAAATTTCAGAATGCTTTCTAGTTAAAAACAACTGGTACATTAAATCAAAGCACAAAATGATTAGTTAGTTGAAGGAGTGTTTCTGGAAACAGCCCTTTAAATTTTAGAATTAGGACATGTTATCCTTTCCCACCTTAGTTTGTTGGTTTGTTTGTTTCCCAGATTGTGGAAAAGCTAAAAGATAAACCTCTTTTTCTTTGGGGTTTTTTTTTTCCCTAGTCCTTTGTTGCTTCTCAGCTCTGAATGAGCCAGTTATTGAACTGAAAATACACCCAAAAAAAAGTAAAAAGTTTCCAAATCCGGAGAAGCATCTGCTCCTGGGAAAGTTTATTGCTCGTTTGTCAGCTCTGCTTCCACCTCCAGTGCACTGACTGTCTTTAAAGCATGATGTTGCCCCTTGCTCCTGGCCTTTTTTGAATCTAAGTTAATTTAATAGAATATTTAAACTTTAGACTTTAGCAGACAGGTTGTTAAGA